ATCAATATGTTCTTCATTCAATACAGGAAAAATATTCAACCATATTCTGTTAATTGAGTCATGTTGATGTTATAAAAAGCAGCTTACTAATACTTGCTTAAATATTCTGGAAAACATTTGGAATTGATTGTGTTTCATTAATTTTTGTTATGAAGTTTAAATTGCTTTATAATTGTTCTTCTTTTTGTTGTGAAAAATTCCAAAATCCCAATTATTAATATAAACATTTGTGGCATCATAATTTTAGTATGAAATTAATTAAATAACTTTTAAAATTACTGTCTTTTCTTAGATTTCTTCATTTCATTTATACATTTAAATTAAAGGATCTCAGCGTGATGGCTCATTAAATGCAAATATTGAGATGATAAAAAAATTATTAATACATTTGCTATGAAATCAAAGTTTGATATCACTTCAGTTGTCACAGCTACGATAACCAAAATAGGACTGATCCGATATTTTGTAAGAATATCGAATTGGTCCTAATTTTTAATATTATAAGAAATCTATGATTTCCAAAATAGACTGATCCGTGATTGTATCCGATATTTTCATGTGACATGTGACAAATGGGTGAACATTTTTCCAATTCAACCGAAAAATAAATAATGTAAAAAAACTGAAAAATAAAATAAAAAAATATAAAAAAGAAAAAAAAAAAATTTCATAAATTACACTTTATTAATAATGAGATTTGAAAACTTTTCAATACTTATATATTATATATATATATATATTCGTAGTTAAAAAAAAAAAAAATTATTAATAAAATTACAAACTAAACACTGTAATAATTATAGAAATAATTTAAACAAAATAAGTTTAAATATTAATATTACATACATTTATAAAATATTTATTTAATATAAAAGATTAAAAAGTACATAATATACGCATTTAATTTTTAAAAGTAAAGCAAATTAGGATTCCCAATTAAATAAAAAAATATTCTTATATTTTAGATATAATGCAGTTTCCTAAATTAAACTTAATTTACAAAAAAAAAAAAAAAAATTATTGATGTATATATATATATATTCGTAATAATTAATTTGTCTTTTAAAATTTATTTTGCAAACAAAATTTGTTTTATTATTTTTTTTTATGTTTTCAATTAAAATCTATCATAATTGAGGCAGCTTTTTTCCATTCTTTTTTCTGAATATAATTATAAATTAATATTATTCATTATTTTTATTGTTATTTTTAAAATTCTATTAAATATTTTATATTTTAAGTAATATTCGAATTAATGGTTTTATAAAAACTGAGTCTTAATATAAAGCATAAAAGAAATTTAGAAGCCCAAAAAATATTTTTGTTTATAATTTTCGATTCGTAATGAAAGTTTTAAATTAATCAATGAATTTTTAAATTATGTATTTAAAATAAACAATAAATTGAAATTAACAATATGTTTTGATTGTTCACAAGTACCATTTATAGTGTGATATTTTTATGATTTGAAAATTCTGTAAGTCATCAAATACTAGTATACAATTAAATACATTACTTTGGGCCTTTTTGAAAATGGTTAAGACTATTCATGATAATAGTTATATTTTGGAACTGAAAAACCGTACATATTTTTTTTTTTAATTTATTACTGATAAAAGTATATTAGGATAATATTATCAAAAATAAAATATTTATTTATAATATTAATTAATAAAAAATATGCTATATATGAACATAAAACAATGATTTATTAATGATAAAATGATAAACTAAAAAACATAAAATCTTATTTATTTTATTCGTTTTATTGTTTTTTCTAATATTATAACTATTATTAACTTAAAAATAACAAAAAAAAAATACACATCAATAATTCAAACAATATTTGAAAGCAAATTGGATCACAAAAAAAATTATAATAGTAAATACACATAATATAAAAATGTAATTTTAAAAATAAAAAAATACTTGAAATTATAATTTATTAATATAATTTAAAATATATTGTATACCCTATATGTATAATAAAATGTAAATATATAAAAAAAAATATATATATATATCAGAATTAAGATATTTACTACTAGTATAATACAATAATAAAAAAAAATTTTTTTTAAAATAATATCGATAAACTAAATCGTTGGATTTAAACAAAAAAAAAAAAATTAAGTTTATTTTTTTAGTCAGTAAAAATTATTATAGCACTAATATCAGAAACTTGAGTCTCTCTTCACACAAGTTTAACACTTATATTTCAATGATTTATTATTATTTTTTTGTTTCCTATTTTTCATTTTTATAGCTTATTAAAATGAGAATTATTTAATTTTCTTCTTGCAACTGCTGTCACTGAATTAATATAATAAAATATCTGGAAATCTTAATTAAATAAGATTTTAATTTGAATTTCTTATATACAATGATATGATTAAATTGAAATATAACATAGTAAATAATAGACGGAATTTAAAAAAAAAAAACAAGAAAATTTATAAATTAAATCTATAAAAATAGAAAAATTTTTAATTTAAACAAAAATTTGTTTATCAAAATTTTAAAAAATAAAGTGAATACATACAATATGGATGGTTTGCATTTTGAAAATGACCTGGATCAATTTGTAATTTGAAAAAAAAAAAAAACTTTTTTTAATTCCAAAGATTAATGATAATATCAAAAGTTGGAATTAAAATTCATATTTCCGTAAATATGAGTTTTAATTTATTTTTAATATGAAGTAAATGTAAAATAAATATTCTATAAAGCAAATAACCTGTTAACTGAATTTTTGGTTACTCTTTAAACTTAAACAGAGCAATATATTTGAGTTTTAATTTAAAGTGATCTAATTTCAAAATAAATCATCTACATAATATGTATAGCGTTTTTTCAATAATTAATTGAATTTAAATATTATTTTATTTAAATTAATTAAATTTATTAAATATATCATGTTTTACATGATCGATTTATATAACTTAATCTCTATGATCAGTTTATAGAGCCGGGAATGGTTAATAATAAAATTGTAAAAAAAATTTTACTAAATTTACAAAAAATAATTGAAATAAATTTGTATATTTTTTTATATTTTATTATGCAATTCAGTGATGAACAGTATAAATAATGATTTTAATTGTTTGTCTTGTTGTAATTTACAAATTTTAATTATTTTATTAATTTATTTTAACAAAGCATAAAAATAATGAACAGAAAACAAATATGATAATGTTATTGATTTTTTTCCTTTTCTTTCTAATTAAAATCATTCTTTTTTATTTATTTTATCTTGAAATTTTCATAATATATTTTAATTTATATTATATTATTTGAATTTATTTTATTGAGAGTAATTATTTTTTACGATAATAAATTTTAGAAGACAAGCTGAATTGTTCTAGTAATATTTAATTTATATTGGTTTTTTTTTGTTTGATTTTACTTAAATTTTAACTGATGCTTAAAAATTTATTAACATTTTTTTTTTTTCTTTTACTTTGTTGTGTCTATCACTTAATTAATCTAAACATTTCTACTTGTATAAAGATATCTAAAAAAAAAAAAAAAAACTGCATTTTTTAATATATGTATACTAGTGTGTCTCATAGATTATGTTATTGTTATCCTTGTTAAAGTTCTTTTTATTTCCATTTTTATTTTAAATTTTGTAAATTCATTTTGATTGGATATTTTTTTTTTTAATATATTTTCAATGTAAATTCCTTTTATTTAAAAATACATAACATTGCATTATATTAATTTTTTTAAATTTTTCTTTTTTGTTTTTAAATTTTCCATTCATCATTTTTTTATTTTTCGTACAAATTTGATATAAATTAATTGATTTTTTTTTTTTATTTTTTAACTTTTAATAATTAAAGAAATAGGAGAGGAAATTTTTTTTTTTTAATATGGAATAAATTGTGATTATTTATGATTTCTTCTTATAGTCATAAATGTAATAATGATTATGATTATGATTAAAATGTTAATTATTTTAAAAGCATATATGCACGATAAGTATACCAAAATTATCCCCGTTCATTTATGGAGCTGAGCACAATATCTACCTACTCACTAATTTGCCAGACTATTGAATGATGTGCTAGGCAATTTCGTGAAAAAACAGTATTTTTTGGGGTTTATCCGATTGCATTTGAATTTTCTATTATATAGAGGCTGGTAGTACTTGGGCTCCGCCCGATGTCCCAAGAGAGTAAGTTGCTAGAAATATATGGAGCGATGGAGGCTGGAAAACTTTCTTCGAGAAAGTAAAGCAGACATTTGTAGCGGCAAGAAATCCAGAGGCTACGTGAAAAAATTATTTAAAGGATATTACGTTGCTGCAGGACGCTTAAAACGACTGGGACTCAAGAGAGGAGCAATAATGGAACGAAAGTCAAAAAGCAGAAAAAATGTTAAAATGTCAATAATTTATAGAACAAGATTTTTGCAGTTACTGCTGAAACGTTCGTTGTAAATAAAAAAAAGGTAAGCCACGAAATCGAGACCTGTCTTTAAAACAAATAATGATATGTTTAGAAAAATGGAATATTTCAGTCTTTTATTTTGATTTCCAGGGGTCACGGTTATCTTCCCTGTTTACAAAGGTAGATAGGACTGATACAGTTGACAAAAGATTATTAGAGTGTGCAAACAACCTCAAACTACGAAAGGTGCCTATAAACCAGTCAAATTTAAAGTTGGTGTCATAGTCGTAATATATGATCTTAGTTCTAATTTTAGTAATGAGTTTACATCTGTATATGGAATGTAGTGGGAATTTGTGAAATGTTGAAGCGCAGGTCGATTTTGATATACTATGATATAGTGAAATTTTACTCGTTACTAGTAACCTTGAGAATATCAGCGTTATTTTGTGTTTTTGTAAGTTAAATCTTGAGACATAATCTATATAACATATATAAATAGGTATATGCAGAACTTTGTTGTCTACATATTTTAGAAATCCGTAAAAGGAGCTTGAAGAAAATAAAATTGAAAGACTCTACGCGCATTTGACTCTTTAACAATTATTAACATTAAAGGGTTCTGATACCGTAGATTTCGGTGAAATATACATTGAGGATGTAAGGCAAATTGAAATACAACCGAAATATCTCACAGTGTTTACATTGTGCCCAGCTACTTTCGAGGACTATGGTTTGGATAGGGATTCCAATCTTGCTGTACAATTTCTAAAGTATTTTAAAAGTTATATCATATAAAAAAAAATTTAATCCGTTAAAGTTTGGGCTATTAATGCTAACTGTTCCTTAAGAAGACGGAATGAGGGACGTTCTTCTGGACTGTGATACCAACATTTTCTCATTACCTAAAATATAAAATAAATTATGATGACCATTTTCCCTGTTTCAAAAAATTTATATGATTTTTTTTATATTCAAATAAAGAATTTGTAAAAATAAGAATAAATATTCATAATTGAATTTTGAGGCCATGCATTAATTTCGTTTGTAATGATAATTAAATTTTCTTATTTTTACAATTTGCAATTTATACTCACATCATAAATTTCCTTGGCACAGGACTTTGGTTTTTCTAATATTATTCCACGTTGTACACGTTCAACAACCTCTGTATTTTTTAGACGGCCATAAGGCATTTTACCGCAAGTAAATACTTCCCACATTAACACTCCTAAAAATAAAATGCATTTATATTATAAAATGTAGCAAATGTATATTTTTTATTAATTTTTTAATATTTTTAATATTTAAGTATAGCAAAAGGAAATCTTACCATATGCCCATACATCACTTTTAGATGAAAATCTTGTATAATTTAGTACTTCTGGTGGAGCCCATTTTATAGGAAATTTAGTACCACCAGAACTAGTATATTGATCATCTAATACATATCGTGCTAAACCAAAATCAGCAACTTTTACAACATTTTCTGATCCAACTAAACAATTTCTTGCTGCTAAATCACGATGTATATAATTATGTCGTTCTAAATATGCCATTCCTTTACTAACTTGAATACACATATCCAATAAAAGTCCCATATTACCAATTAAAGATGTTTCATGACGTCTCAAATAATTTAATAATGAACCATGTTTCATATATTCAGTAACAATATAAATAGGTCGATGTTTAGAACAGACACCATAAAGTTGAACTAAATTTTGATGTTGTAATTTTCTACAATATTAAGAAAGTAAAACAAAACAATAAATAAAATAATTAATTATTTTAAAATTTAAATTAAATAATTCTATTCTATTAAAATTATATATATGTATTATTTTCATACGTCATGACTTTTGCTTCTTCAATAAAATCATCTTCAGACATGGTACCCTCTTTCATCATTTTAACTGCTGTATCAATAGAACCTCGCCATTTTCCACGACGTACAACACCAAATTGACCAGATCCAAGCTCTTCTAAAAGCATTAATTCCATTGGATGTATTTCCCATTTATCTATATTAATAAAAAAAAATATTGAATTTAAAAAATTCGAGTAAAATTTAATAAAATTTAAAAATTTTTATTACCATGTGACAATCCAGCTGTCGGTGGTACTGGTCTATCACAAGGTGAAGATTTTAATCGACATGCTAATCCACCAGAATTATGACGATGATAATTAATCAAATCAGGAATTGTTTCACAACAATGCTTTTCAGATAAATAATATTCACCCCGAGCATTTTGTTTAATATGATAATGTTTAACATGAGATTGTGGACTGAAATTTAAAATATATATAATTTTTAAATAAATAAGTAATGAATATGTTATATTGCCTAATAAACTATGCAATATTTCAGATTTGGTGCTAGGATTTTCGAGTAAAATTTGATCATACAATTGAATAAGAATAATTTTGGAACAAGAATGAAAATACTTTATGAATCCTATTCTATAATACAAAACAACTATGTATGTATGCATAACCAAAAAAAAAAAAAAAAACTAAAATATTTTGCGGAAAACGAAAAAGTTCAATAAACTCATTTATAATTTATACAATTAATATTTAAATTTTGACATAATAATCAAAAATAAAGGTGAAAGTGAATTTTTCAATGTTTCTTTTTATTTATGTTATTTCAATTTTTAAAATATGCATTTAGGCTTTTCAATTTCCGCTCTTCCTACATTTTTTTTATTAATTTTATTTATTTTGCAAAATAACTTAAATAGAAATCAATTTGAAAGAAAGCACAAAATTATAAAGAATTCAAACTTCACTTTCATTATGCCATATTTCAATAATAATAGAAATTATTATATTTTTTTAACACTTACACTTTGGTATGCAATGACAATGTGTATAAACCTTTTGTGGAAGATTTTCTAACTACAAAACATCCTTCTTTGTCACCTTGTTTAAGTAATGATTCAGCACGTTGTCTTGACATATCTCCAACATACCATCTAAAAATATTAATTAATAATTTATTTTAAATTTTTTTTACTTTATATAATCGTAAAAAATAAAATATAAGCGTAGATTAGTCTAACTTACTCGTATCTTTCAAGTCCAAGAAGGGCTTTTGGTTTAACATAATTACTTGGAATATATCCAATATTTCCATGCTGATCTTTGACTTTCCACCAATGCTCTTGAGAGTCATCAATGACTTCATATTCGGCATTCTAAAAAAAAAACAAGAAAATTTAAAATAAGTAATTGAAATTTTTTTTTATAAAATTAAATTATTATATTACCTTTTCTAAGGAAAGATCTCCTCCTTCTATAGCCTTAAATGGATATAGTGCTACAACAATTTTTACAAAATGAGAATTGTCCTAAATTATAAAAAAAAAAAATTAATAAATTAAGCAAATATTTTATTAAATAGTAATTGCTTGCACATACTTTCGCTTTAGAATTTGGAGTGCCTGGTGTTGGGATACCACCTGGCATTGTGGTATCACAATTTATTACACTGTTTCCGTTTGCAATTGTGCTGGTTTTAAATGTTGAAACCGATGACTGTAAATTTAAAAAAAATAAATAAAGTAATTAATATCATCTCAAATGTAATGAGTGAAATTTTTTGCATAAAAAACGTAAACCTAAACCAGAAAAAAAAATTATCAATTAATTTATTAATTAAATTCATTGAGTTTTAATTATATTATCTATAAGATTCATTATTTAATAAATAAGTGTTAATAAAATTAAGTCTCAATAGAGTATGAAGGGCGGAGAATAAATTATTTCTGTCATTACCTTCAATTATACTCGTATAATAATTTATTGATTCTAATTACAAATTTTAATTAAGTATATGTACTCATAGTACAATTCATGATTTCTTAAATAAAAATTACATTTAAATTAATTTCAATATGACAAACAATAATTAAAATAATTAAAATGTGAAGGATGTAGACAACATTAAAATTTTAAAGGAAAAACAAAAACATAACATAAAAATTTTTAATTTATGAAAACAAAAGGCAATTAAACGTGAGAAAATCAAAAAACGCAAAAGAAAAAAAGGAATTAGACAGGATGTCTTAAAATTGATTACATATACCATAACCAGCATATTGAATATGAGAATGGAAACAACAAAATAAATTTTAACAGATGGTTTCCAAGTATTTTTATTTTATATGATAATCTTAAAATTCTATTTAAAATTCATTAAAAATACAATCATTTGAGGAGCATATCATCAACATAAATGTACACACATATGTATATATGTACATATTTACGTATGCATTCAAATTTTAATTTTAAGGAATTTTTGTACCTTTTTTTTCTGTATTTCAAAATACGCAAAAATAAAAGAAATATGGCGAGGTTAAAAATATTAAGAGTAGTAGAAACAAAAAAAAACAAAAAATGAATTTTATTTACCTGTGGATGGGCTGATGTGGGTGTTGAACTACCTAAACTACCAGAACCGGATGAATTATTATGATGTAAACCAAATGGGCTCGAATTTGATGTTGAATTATTTGGACTTATACTACGTGTTGAATTTTGTGCAGGAGAACTTTCGGTACCTAAAACATAAAAGAAAAAACGGAAATTTTAATAAAATTAAAAAAAAAATTCGAAAAAATTTATTATTAAAAAATTTTTTATATTCTATTCTTAAATTATGCTATACGTAGGCTTTTAAAGTTAAAAATAAAAGAAAAAAATATGCCTTTGTCATCAGCTAACAATTAGTTTAGAGAGGACGTGTGTGTATTTAAAATTATAGTAGGCAAATTTAAAAGAAATTAATCTTTAAAAGACAGAAACGAAAACAATTTTTTTTTTAAATCATCGAAGCAAAACTTTTCAATTATAAAAAATATTTTCATATTTAAATACAAAAATTTCAATTGAAAATCACAACCATAGTAGTAGATTTTGATGTAAGAGCATGTCTACATTATGTACATACATACATGTAGCTGTATAACAGAATTTAATTTTAATTTATGCGTTTTGTTTAACAAACCATGAATTTCATCATCAATTCTAAAATATTAAGGATTCCCAACTTAAAACACAAAATTAATTCAATTTTGTTTCAATTCAACGTCATCACTATTGTTATTATTTTTTATTACTCAAAAATTTTAATAATCCTTTTCGTAATTTCATCTTTTATTGTTTTGTTTATACGTACATACATACATTAAAGGAGGAAGTCAGTCAGACACACACATAATTTAAAAAATTAAAAATTAAAAATAAAAACAGAAAAAAAAAAAAAAAAATGACCTTTTATTAAAATTATGAGAATTTTCTCTTCTACACTCTAGTCTAAACTATTTTGATTTGAATACAAAAGAAAAACAAAAATTGAGAAACAAAAGAATTAAATTCTCTCATTCAATTTAATTTAAATATGCATGTATAAAAATATGTAAGAATAATTATTAAAAATTCTTATACAAATCGATAAGAGTTGGTAATTGGTATAAAATGTATTCAGAGGCATAGCAAACAAATGTATATAGGGGTATTTTAATATATACAGGAATATAGATAACAGCATAATAAAAAGAGGGCTGCAACTTAGATTTTTTAACTTAAAAGAGATCGCAAAACTTTTAAAGAATTTTTTTTTTTGCCAAGGTTAACCAATAATTAGGGTAATTATAATAGTAATACGTGCATATAAGTACATATCTACATACATATATTAAATTTGCATTTTCACTACATTTGTGATTAAAATAATTTTCAACTCATGAATAATTAATTATTAATATTTTTTTATTTTATTACGTTTCAAAAATTAAAAAATTATTATTTTAATATTATTTTTTATTATGGTGGCAAGATAAGAATTTTTGCAATTTTTTATTTTTTTTTTCTGATACCTAAATAATTTTTCATTTAATCATTAAAAATTTGAAGTATTTTTTAAAAAATGAAGGTATTTTCCTAAATAAATTTTTTATGAATTTCGTGTTCTCTTATTTTGAACACAATTTACGTCTCTCGATACGAGTAAAGTTTTCGATTCAATTATTTAAATTTCAATTGTCAGCTAATTTTTCACCTTCAGTTTTTGGAATTAATTAATTAATTTTTTGGAAAATGAAAAAAAAAAAATAGGAACTACTAGGAAGTAGGAGAAATTAATTTAAATAAAAAAAATCAAAAAATAAAATTAAAGAATAAAATTAAATGTATAAATTGAAAGTATCCAATAAGTATAACATACGTAAAATACCAATATTTTGAAGAAAAAATAAATTATATAACAAGAATCTTTCATTTGACATTGACAGCTTTACTAAGTTCAAATATCAGGTTTAATTTTATTAAACATTTAAATTTTGTAAAATTTGCAAAAGATTTTTTATACCCCAAAAAACTAGAACAAAAATTCCTGTTAAGATAAAATATTATTAGTATAGTTTTTATAAACAAAGTACATACATCACGATATAACATCAAAATTGCATTTTATTAATATTCATTAATAAATGTTGCGAATTTTCTTTACAAAACTATCAGAAATAATATTGCAAATGTATCACGTATATGTAATTTTTTTTACTGTATGTATTGTGTATGTTTATGAAAATCTTTATTCTAAAAACAGAAACCTACGCGCCTAACATTACTTAAAATTTTTATACATTTGAAAGAATTTGAGTTTTTGAATTAATATTTTCTTCTGATTCTAGCATTATTAATTTGTAATTTATTTATTATAAACGAGACCATTATTTTTTTTAAGTTATGTCATTGTTGCAGCAACTGAGTGATATATCAATAATCTCTAATAGTTAACAAATTAATATGATGCAATAATTATGTAGTAAAAAATCAAAGAGTGTTATAACACTAATTATTTTTTTAAATTATTTGACAACCAAATTATTTATTTATTTAATTTAGCAAAATAAGACGTTTTAGTAGACAGATACCTTTTGGGTAAAAGATGATTTATGTAATAATATTGTTGCAAAAATATATCACCAGGGGTGTTTATTTATTTTTTTCCCTATTTTTAATTTTTATTGAATTTTCAAAGTTACAATACAAAAAACAGAAAAAAATGCATTCAGAAAAAGTTTTTTTTTTTTGTTTTAAGTTTTCTTAATATCATTGTTACTCCATTTTAAAATAGTGATAAAAACTAATGTACCTACATATGTTACATATGTATACATAATTAAGTATGTGATCATACTTAAATGATAAACACTTTAAATAATATTACGTGTGTAGATGATAAAATCAATTCACGCCAACAAAACTAACTACTACAATATTATTAAATAATAGTTATTTATAAAAAATGAAAGTCGTCGCTCTTTTTTTCCTTTTTATTTTTGTATACTCATATCTAAATCTAAATCATCTAAATTTTATTATATTTTTAACCAACTCTTATATTATATATATATGAATATTCATACACTTATGTATAATATTAATCATACATTCACATGGTACAATAAAAAATTTTTAAAAAATATTATTTAGCTAATAAGATCTACTAACAATACACACGCTTATAATCAGAAAATTTCATTTAGTCAATTTAGTGTGAGCATAAATATGCATAAGTATAACTTATAAGTATCACCGCAAATACAACGCTTTAATTCATATATGTACATAGCACTATACACACATGCATACAATAAATTTATAACATATTATACAAATATAAAAAAAAAGGAAATGAAATGAAATCGTGTTTTATTTCAACGTAACCAGTAACCACCTTATAATAAAAATATAAAAAAAATATTATACAAAATAAAGGTAAAAAATTCGAAAAATATTTTTAAAATGATAATTTCGATATACAATCAATAATATTTGATTTATGTCTGAATAAAATGTTTGTTTTTTTTTTGGTTTTGTTTTCCTATTAAAATTAAAATTTGGCAAATTATATATATGTATGTACATAAAAACGGAGTGTTTTTGTGTGTCAATACTTAAATGAATATTTGCTAATATGAAAGTTTATAAGGAAACAACATTTTTAACTTAATCGTTAATCGAAACTAATTAATGACGTCTTATTTTAACTAAAAAATTTAATTACATAAATATTTATATATAAGTAGACGAAAAAACTTGATTGGTTTTTTTGTTTTTATTTGAAATGATTCAATTTAAATACATTGTAAAAAATTTATTTTTAAAATTTTGAGGATTCCAAGAAAATTGATAAATTTTGACGCAAAAGCGCAAAACTTAAAAAATTTGAACGTAATTCATATCTTATACGTTACAATATATATACGACACATATACGACAATATTGGCAGTCATTAAATTCCTGGCTTCTATATTGGAAAGACAGCCCTAATTTAGTCAAAATATTAAGTGCTATATATGTTCATGCATAAATTTTGAGCGAAATACTCTATTCCATTTTGTTTAAAAAGCGTTTTCAATACGCAAGAAAAAATAGAGAGCGCTTCAAAAAAAAATTTCGATACGGTGTTACAAATTGGTAGCTCATTTGACTCATTCCATATTTTCCAGCTATTATATTACGTATTGTTCACTTTTTTTGATATTTTCCGAATAAACTGTAATAAATTGTCAATTGTTAAAATCATATGCAAATGCCAAAACGTTTGACTTTGACATTTTAAATTTCAAATTCGTTTCATAATGAAAACAACACTTTTCAAACTTTTTACTTTGCAGCATTTAAATAAAAAAAAATGTAGTATCGAAAAAGTTTGAAAGCGATTTAAAAACTACGGAAGCCAGAGGATGAAACCCCTATAAGAATACAATAAACTACCCCATCTAATGGTTAATGGATGAATTATTAATTTCGGCTTAAAAACTTCGGAGTTGGAAAAGAACTCAACTTATTTTAACTTAAGAAGCATGCATATATAAGTAAGTAATTACTGTGAAATAATTAACACAAACGTTTTCTCTATACTTGAAATAATCATAACAAATTAATTTTATAATATTGCTCTTAATAATTACTAACAACAGTAATGAATTTATAAGTGTCATATAAGTAATTCATTTTATTGTTACATACTTGTTGTGTAATATCATTCGTTCTAAATTTAGAATTAGAATTTCTGAATTCTCGTGAAAATTTTTTATTAAATTTTTAAGAAAAAATTAAAATGTAACAAATATTTGATAATTAATATGATAATCACGTTTGTCTAATATCACATAAAATTTTGATGATTATTTTAAATTTCATTGAAAATCCATCAAAAATATTAATTAATATAAAATTTGAGCGAATTCGTGATGAATAGCGGGAAATTTTTGCAATTTGATAAAAACAATTGCCCAATGTTTGTATAAGCTCTTAAATATGGAAATTTTACAGTGAATTTAGCACTTTCCTGCTTATTTATTAAAATATTGTTCAAATTCTATAATTGGAAATCACATATCTCAATAATGAAATTTAAAATTAATATGAAAAATATTCTCAGAACAGATGAAAACTAAATTTTTATGAGCAATAAGCTAACAAACAATTGTCGTAATTTAAAAATTTCTATTTAATTATAAAAATCAAAAATTTCAAAATAAAATC